GTCTCCAACTTTACGCAAGTGTGCAAAATTTCAGATCGATAGGATAAGTAGAAGTGTGTTAAATTTTAATTATAAGATTTGTAGCAGACAGACAGACAGACAAGAAGTGAAGTTAAAGAGAAGTGTTGTAAAAAGTGTTGTAAAAGAGAAGTGTTGTAAAAGCGCACGAGTCTACCGTATACTATATCCTCTCCATCAACATCAACGCTCAATCTCCGCAGTTTCAGCATAGTGAAAATAAAATGACTGCAACGTCCACATTTTATAGAACCAGGGCCGTGATCAATTTGTGCAACATCAATATTTAACCCTATAATTAAATGTGTTACCACCTCATGTATTAAATTCATTAAGATGAAAATAACCATAGCAACTTCATTATTAAATACCTACCAAGTTGTGATTTTGTTGGCCGCAGCCTATAATGTTAAAAATAGGCCTCGTGAATATTAATTAAAATGACATCATTTCACTCTAACAAAGAATTTGAAATACAATTTCATTTATTTTAGGTCATTTATTTGCAAGTTTTCAAGAAGAATCACAATCGCTGTTTACATCCATGCCACTAAATAAAATTGATGAATGGCTACGAATGCCCTACAGCTGGACAGGAGAGAATATAAATATGAAGAACATTAATCATCAAGAAATAAAACTTGGCCCGTTCCATTATGGCACTTATGTACTATGTGATTATCAGTCATTTATCAAATCATAGGTCAATTACCCGCCGACATGAGCAAACGTGTGCTAGATAAATGGATAACACTTCTATACGACCTAACACCTACACAAATATCTTCTGTATTTTATTCGTACACCCAATAATATCCTTTCCTTCGGCAGCTGTTGTAAGAAATGTGATATATTGTGGCAAGTTAGCCCAGCGTTTCCAAGGCTTCATGATTCCTACTATATATGAAATTCCATTATTCCGGTAATTCCTTGTGACCGTTGTTTGCGCTGATTGCAATAAATCTAATGTATTATAATTAAGTGGAAAGCCCATCAAACCCATGTTGTAAATAGAAGATAAGACCCCCTTCTTTTGCTCTCGCTTACAATGTAGAAACTTCGTCTTTTTTTAATTCATCCTCCGCTCCTCTATCTGTGTAATTTTACTTCTCGGTAATATCCCGACACGATAATTAAGTATCCTGGATACGCTCCTCCCAAACAACTAAACTTGTGGTGTCAGGCTGTGAACACACAATCCCCCCCCCCCACACACACACGCAAACTTTGATTAATGTACATTCGACTTGAAAACATTCTGCACTTACGGTTTCCTTTACGGCAATTTTCGTCCGGCGTTTTCCTTTTTTGAAGAACTCTCGCCAAGTAGTTTAGTTTGGAGGCTTTCCTGTACCCGCGGCTGTTCGCTTTCTCCAAAGCCTACAATCAGTTACAGTCGTCGAATATCACTCAACATTTAATTCTAATTTTCTAACCCGTAACATGTGTTATTTATGCATTTCACTCTCCAGGAGATGAAAATAAATTTAATTATTGACTAAAGCTACATTAAAATTTATTTTTTATTTTTTAAAATAAGATTTCAAATGTTTTTAATTTTTCCGCGTTTCATGTCATTACCATAGCGCCGCAACCAGGTTTTTACTTTGGTTCCGTTGCACTACTTGCATCATGTGTTAGTTTCTCATTTGTTTAAAGAACTACGCCTCGGCATAAATTTTAATTATTGTTGTTTCTTTTTGCCTGAATAAATAGAATGAGCCTTGTGAAACGCAGGAACAGTTTTATATACATGCCATAAATGGTTTTTATTCCAATCTCAAGATCTTTCTCGACTGCTTCGCAACGATTGTCTGCGTTAAATATATGACACCTTCTTGCCTGTGATGCAATAATAAATATTGTCAAATATCTTCAGGCATGTTGAACACGAGGTACGTGGACGAGTCACTTGATGTAGAGAAAAAGCGTGAATTTTGGGTGGACGTATTCGAGATCACGATTTTCTTAAGGAGTGTAACTTCTCTTTTTGTTGTTGGTGCTTTGGCATTCTTTGTTGAAATAAGCGAGAAAATTTTATGATAGCCGCAAAGTTAGGCCCGTATTTATGCGGGCCAAATAAATTAAAAAAAATAACATACCTTATTTAAATTTTCCTGCGTAACGAGGGAAAGGGCGACGATTGTTGAACTGATTAGAACGGTGTTAGGACTTCAGCGATACAATTCCAGTGAATCTTAATGACATCACTGTACATAGGAATTTTCTGATAATTCAACTTATTTTTCCCGTGTCTAAGTTGTTTCGTAATATGTGAAGTGCAAAACTTGCCACCTTGATGTTTATTTCTGAATCAAGTTAGGGCTACAAAACAACTGAAGTCTGTTGCCTAAATTGAGCAAAAATTGAAGTCAAAAGGCATTTATAGGAAACTAGAAGGTTATAAAGGCGTTGTCCGGGCTTGGAAATTCCTTCAATTCTGGATTGCTAATCTCATCATTCGCATTATCCTTAATGTAGAGTATAAAAAAGTCAATGTATTCTAATTAAATAAAGACTCCTAAAACCAACATTCTGTATAAAAGATTGATTTTGAATTTTAATCACGTTTCAAAATATGGAAATATTATTCTTCGTCTTTTATATTAAATTTATATCACCAATTACAAAATCAAATTTAAATTGTAGATCAAGCACTTCGATCCCTCTTTTCTTTCTGTAATCCATTCCTATTCTCCCACTACGAACGAAATTTCTGGTTCTGATATTATATCGACATGTTATAAGTAACGTGGACAACGTTATAATTATGCCGAACATTTGTTTATTATAGTTAAATTTAAATCGATCTTTCATCTATATTTTAAGATTTCGAAACACTTTAAATTCTTGTTAGATAGGTTAACTTTTTTCTCTTAATTTTTATCATATATATCAGATAAATTACACTGCTTCTATATCATAATGTATTATCTCCTTACATTGAATAGGGTAAAATACAAGCTTAATTTGCCTAAAATCTTTTTGTCATTGGAGCAGAGAAGGGCTAGTTCGAGCCCAGCCCTGTGCGCCAATTTCTGATCGGATTCGGCGGGAAAGGACGGGCGGTTAAGCACAGCAGAATTGGAGCAGCGAGTTGCGAGTGCAAGACCGAAACAAGATGTGAATATTCTGCGATGTTAGGAATCGGCGACAGGCCTACGGCCTAATAAACGCTGAAACCGCAATTATTCCTCCGCGCCTACATCAGCTCTGATTACAATGAATGGATGTACTTGCTTGACAGTAGGGCGAACCTATATATCAAGCAACCCTGTACATATGATTATGATATACTTAAATTTTCTCCTGTATACGTACAGGTGACGCATCAAATCAATACTCATAGCAATGAGAGTTACGTCTAAGAGTGACCCATAATGAAGGTAAAATTATGGTTCACTGTGAATTGAAATTTTAATTATACTAGGATAAAACAACAATGAATTCGATTCCGAAACAGATAACTCTTAAAAGTAGGTCGACCAATTTAAAATAATCAAACCTTTAGGAACCAGTGATAATGCATAAATAATCAATTTGGAGTATTTTAATATGCTACTGTGTGAAAAGCATGAAGCATAATATCTTGAACTGAATTCAAAAATGGTAATACGAAATTTCCAATGAATTGTTTTTAAATTAGAAAATTTTTTCTTACTGACAATACAAGTTTAATTATCCAACCATTTTGATGTCAAATTGGGCGATTCTCTCTGTCAACATCTGCTATGGAGCTTCAGATCGATACTGGTCGAGCTCTACGTGTTCTGGCTGGGATTGAAAATGAATTGGGCGTCGTTTGTAGTTCGCACTGTCAGGTGTGTGCAAGAATAAGGTCATATAATAATGATAAAGTTTGAGACTCTCAAAATATGAAAAGTGACTAACGCTTAAGTACGACAAGAACTGAAACATATGATATGTTGATAGGAAGTGATACGCGACTCAATCAGTCAGCAGTGCGCGTGTGTAACAGGAGACACGCAAAAAAGCATAGCGGCGGTCCAAAGCAAAAGCGGTCCCGCTACGCTATTCGAACTCCCATTTTGATACGCATGCAGTTTTGGCATTATTCCCGTGCACCCCCAAGTTTTGTAAGATAGTATGCAGATTGCAATGTGGAAAGAAATATGGTGACAGCCTATGGATTATAATTAGCATGCAACCCCGAATGTCACAATGTGACATTGGCACGTGCTAGGATGTTTATTGTAATGTGGAATCGAGTCATGAGGCAGCTCATGCGTTATAAAGATAACGCTGACACAACTCACTGACACCGTACAAGTTAGAATGATCATGTCGAGGTGCAAGTTCAGCTGAACACTCAGATTGTGATCATTTGAGATGTAAAGTCATCACTCACACTATCAGCTTTGACGTCTTTGCAAATATGGAGCATCTGTTTAAGAGCTTCGCCACTTCATCTGAATCAACGCGTAGCATGGGGAGAAATGTTCTTCTTATAAGATACATACATGTGAGATGAAAAAATTTTGTTCGAACACTCATTGAGATTCTTTTAGCAAATAACTTTCCATGCAAAAAAATGAGAAAATTAAAACAAAATTCCATCATCTTCGCTTATATTTCTACTTTATTCTAGATATTTTTCATTTCTTCACAAGAAAATTTACATTTTCCTAACTAACAGTAAAATGTAATTTTCAACAATTGATTGGGAAATCACCACTCCGTCATCACCACTCCGTCATCACCACTCCGTCATCACCACTCCGTAATCACCACTCCGTCATCACCACTCCGTCATCACCACTCCGTCATCACCACTCCGTCGTCACCACTCCGTCATCACCACTCCGTCATCACCACTCCTCATCACCACTCCGCCATCACCACTCCGTCATCACCACTCCGTCATCACCACTCCGTCAGCACCACTCCGTTCGTCACCACTGTAGCTGTGGTGACAGATAGTCCGGCAGAGACAGTCTCTGACAGACAGCTGTATAAGCATTCGACCGACAAATGAAACCAACTGTTTCAATGATATCATAAAGCTATAAAGGCAGACCCTGCATCGCCCCGAGTCACAGGACTTCTAACTGCCTTTCGCTCACGACGCGTTTTGCTTAGCCTCTGACCGCTTACGATAACCACCATGATGAAATCTGTCGGTGTTGTCCTCCTCATAGCAACCTTTGCCTACTCCGGCGTTGAAGGGTAAGTGAACTCAGCAGTTGCATTCCTGCGCTCTTCTCTCCCATTCTGTTCAACTTTATCCAATATAATAAATTATTACATTATATTGCTTTGTGCTCTAATTTTGTACAACCACTACAAATAAGTGCTGAAAAAGTTGCAAAAAAGTTGCATTTAGTGGTAAGGATATTACTTGTTTTCCTGACTAAAATGGGAAATGTTAATTTTTGATGTTACGTACCTGGTGTACTTATTCGTATTCCTTTCTCTACTGTGCATGCAAAGTATCTACCGCTACAACAGTGCGTGTGGAAAAGCCGTCTACAAGAAATTGACCAGCAACGACGTGTATTCAGCCACCAGAACCTGCGTCTCTGATCCAGAGGGAAAAGCCGCCTTGACTGCCATCGGACGTTAGATATTGCAAATTTTATTACCATAAATTGGTTGATCTGAATTTTTCTACCATTGCGCTACTCCATGGGCAATTTACCCAATTGATAATTTTTGTATCCAAAACTCAGTTATAGACTTTTTCTTTTTGATAATTGGTGATATCTAGAGAAGTATCTTGAAATAGTGAGTGGAAACATAGTAAATTCATGATATTCATGAGAGATCTAAAACAATAAGTAGCAATTTACGTGTTCTGCAGGTTACGGCTGCGGGAGCTACGACTTCATTGTCGGCCCTCTCAAGTGCGAAGTTGGCGCAGCTCCCTACATGAAATGTGTAGCGAGAAAACTTGGTTACGTAAGATATCTTTTCAACATCTGTCATTAACTCCACTTTGAATTTTAGCTGACACTATATCATATGTGGTATTGAACGTGACAGTTCATATTGTGACCAACGCTATATATGGTGCACCATCAGAGAATCTATTTTAAATAATTTCATAAGTTATTGAATTGTATTATGAAGTAACACCACTTGTAAAAGTGAATACAGCACCCATTTATTCATTTCTAGTTGAACGCTGATGGCTCCATCAACAACTCAAAGATCTTAGCCCAGTACAAGACTTACGCCACCAGCGCCCCCAAGTGCAGCGTTGCTCAGTACGACTTCGCTGTGAATAAATGTGGCACTACCATCAACAACTACGCGGTAAGTTTTTCTTGCTTAGCGGGACACGCACAAAGTTATTTCATAGAAGGATAATAAGTTGAAATTATTTCAACTGAATTTTGATCAAATGTTAACTTAGAAGCCCAGTGATAATTTGATTTACGAGTATGTGGAAACTTAGGCAAATCATTTTTAGCTCCTGCGAAAATACGTATCTAAATTTCAGACTATCCAGGATGTTTCTTTGATCTGGTTATCCCCTTTTCTGAAACCAATGTGACACATGATTACACGCGAATCTGTGTTGCACATCATTATACCTCTCTCTAATTTATTTGAATAATGCTGCTTAAAGTTTTTCTACTATTCTAATCATTCTTTCACTTCTATCCTCTATAACCGAGCCATCACTTCCTGCCATGAACGTTTGTTGGTATATTGAACTCCTGTAAACAGTTCCTGGCGAAGGTCGCATGCATCGCCGGGGCGGCGGATCAGTACACTGGCTGACCTGCACAATCTGGTCCTCATTCCTTCATCTGACTGGTGGCGTTGAAGTGTTTACAACAGGTGCACAATAATAATTTGGGGACCACTTTCTCCAGTCAATGCGTCCATGTGCAGTAGAAATGGTCTAATCGGAAGTTCATTGTAATTTGTGAAACACAAAATTAAATAAAATCCTGCTTGAAATCATGTTAACAATTATTATTACATTCAAAAGTGAAGCATTTGAAGCCTGAAGAAGTGAAACATTTCGCTTTGTACAAATATATTTTGTGTCCAGAAATTTATATTTGATGCACTTGAAATTATTAGAATTCGACAAGTTTTATCTCTCCTGACAGGTTGAAAAGGTTTGTGAATACTCCAGCAATGGAACTTTTACACAGTTTGGGTGGAATAATTTACAATACATTATTCGCTTGAATATTGTTTTAATTGACTCTTTTGTTGTTGTAGACAAAATGTTGGATTGTCTGTTGCCCAAATCTCTACATGTTGAAGATATATATATATATATATATATAGATTACCTCATTCAAATAATGAGGTGATTGAAAAAAGTATTAAGTAAACTACACATAAGAGAAGTAAATGCAAACGACCCAAAAACCAAAAGCTACATTTAAGTGGCAGAGACGCGATGCATTTAGTTTCGAGAGACACATCGCTGTCTTTAACTTGAAGTTAGTTTTACGAACATTTGGGAACAGAGATATATGAGAGAGACGTCTTAAGGGCCTCAAGGATGAAATGATGACTTGAATGAAGGGAAGGAGAGAGGTTGAACAGAAGCTATATTTGTACATGGAATACCATTTGTTTCAACAAGAAGACATGAAATACATAGCATCCATTGTCAATTAGAGCAATTTGTTAATGGATAAATGGAATAATGTTGATCAAGATGATCATTCTGGGAAATGTTCAAATGATATTACATAAATGCGATCACCCTAAGCGAAACTAACAGGTCGAAAATTAAATTCAACATGTTTGTATATTGAGACATGAAGATTTCTGCGATTTGATGGAAATATTTCCCAACTTTCTTGAATTGTTTTCCAATGTTAGTTACATCGCCTTTAATCAACTCAATTTATGTTCAAGACGATCGATAGCTCTAGGGATCATTTATCTCACACTCTCGGATAAAAAAAATGATTCCGACATATGAAAAGCGTTATTGGGAAGCACGTTAATTTCGGAGATTTTTAGCCCTGCCAAATATGGGTTAGGAAAATTCCTAGCTTCTTTTCTGGTCGAACTTTACAACCGCTGCCTCATTGACGGTATTGTTCCGATGAACTTCAAGTGAGCTTACATTACGCCTTAATTGAAAAAAACAACCCTTGACGCTGCTGATCCCAAATATTATCGCCCCATCTCCAACCCGTCGATTTTGACGTAACTCCTGGAGCGATTGTGGCCTGGAACAACAACCATCTCCAGCAGTCCGGTCTCATACCTCGCCTCCAGTCTGCATACCGTCATCTCCACTAGACGGTAACCGCTGTGCTGAAGGTGCTTTCAGACTTTTCTGGGAGCAGGAGAGAGCGGCGATATTGCGGAACTGGCTTCACTTGACCTGTCGGCCGCGTTTGACATGGTCGATCACGCCATTTTATTGCGCCGACTTACCCTATAATTCGGCCTGTGCGGCAGTTGCGATGATACGAATCCAATCTCAGCAATAGTTTTTAATGCGTTCGACAAGAGAACTCTTCTTCTACGCCATCGTTGGTCACTTGCGGCGCACCTCAGGGATCAGTTCTCGGCCCGATCGTCTTTCTGTCGACATATTGCACATAATTGAATCCGCATATATTCGGTGACGACATCCAAATTTATGGCTACTGTGCACCGGCAAACGCCGCAGTCTTGCAGGACCGGATGTTTGCATAAACGCCTTCTCAGACTGGATGCGCTCCAACCGGTTCCAACTCAATGCTTCAAAAACCGACTTTATTTGGTTTGCGACTGCTCGGCATCAGCATCAGTCTCAGGTCAACCCTGTTCGCGTGGGCAACGTGTTTGTCATGCCTGCGTCTTCAGTTTGCTATCCCGGCATTCTGCTGAACTCAGAGCTTTATATGAAAAATCCCAAGCCAATGTCACCACCGCTTATTTTGGCGCTTTGCTTGCGACGAATAGGTAGCGTCAGTCGCTGTCTCTCGAGGCCACAAACTCTATGGACTTCTACTATGGTAAGGCCACTTTCTATAGACTTCTGACCATGAGACTTAATAAACCGCAATCCTTAATGAACTCTGCTGCGCGACTCGAGTGCTATAAGCGAAAATTCGACAACGTGACGTACATTTTGCGCGATCTTCACTGCGCTGCGCATGCAGCAGCGCACGCAGTTCATGGTCGCTCTTCTGACGTTCTGATGCCTTCACGGTCTGGCGCCTCCTTATCTCACGGAAGGTCTGCAGCGCGTGTCGGATCTACCTTCTGAAAGACGATTGCGTTCGTTATCAGCTGCAGTTCTCGTCGTTCCATCTACACGTCTATCTACCGTCGGCGTTCCCGGTCGCCGGCGCCAGAACCAGGAACTGTCTGCTGACTTCCGTAACATCGGCTGTTTCGTTGCAGATGTTTCGCCAACGCTTAATGACGGTAATATTTCGAAAGCTTATCAATCAAGTGCTTAGGCATTTTTATCCGTCCTCATCCTTTCTTGTGCCTATTTATTTTTTGCTTGCTATTCAACTGATGTGCATTAACCTTGTGCTCTCGAAGTTCGTTTAAACCAGACGCCACGATAACTGGTTCGTAGAATAAATATAATGTATATAAATCTCGTACCTATATTATATGAAACATAAATTCATGCCACCCGTGTTATGAGAGCGGGCAACGATGAAAACTGCATTCAAAAGCTGGCGCCATGGTTTCGGCAGATTATTTATTGGCATGCGTAGCCATGATTCTTTTAAGTTCTCCTATCATTGGTCGCCTTAAATTGCAAGTTGATCAATTTGAGGTAATACAAACGCCAAGTGAATTCTCTATATATTCATTGATAACGTTTCGGAGACCAGCTCCATCATCAGTTTAAAAATTAGAGAAAATAAGTTTTCATTATTTCTTTGTTGGTTTTTTGTTACTTAGGTTTTAATCTGTTAGGTGGTAATTTCGATTTTAAATGCTGATTGTACTTGCATTATTCAATTTTGAGTTGATGATGTAGCTGGTCTTCAAATTTACTTCGATGAATATATAGTGAATTTACGTAATGTTTTCTTTGCTTATAAATTCTTTATAATAATTTGCTGCATGAAAAACTGCAGTAATTTTACGTGGTTTAATTTAAATCGTAAAATATTGTGGTTAGTAAAAGTCTTAATGTTATGGCTAAGTGTAGCTGTACAATAGAGACTGAGTCCTGAATAATGAAATTATTATGTTAGTGCTTCTCAATGTATATTATTCTTGTAACATGCGCTTCCAGTTTTTACGATGGTTGAAAGATTCAAAAATACAAATTGGATATCAAGCAACATTCAAACCATGAATATTTATAGCGCATTCACCGTACCGTGTTCTCTAAAAATTACATTCAGCCAAGTCTAAAGGTAATAATTTAAAACTGTAATCTCTATGATCGCTAAACCTATTTATTTGGACCTTTTTTAATGGTATTCAACTACATTAATGATGGCGGATATGAACCATGCTAGTCATTATTTATATGCTGTTTATACATTGACATGCTGCGTAATGAACCTCGAGTCTACAATATTTCGATAATGGCGTGCGGCATCATTACTTTTAGCTGACGAGTGTGTCAACGAACTAAGTATCTTGGCACCTGTACACGATTGTTTTACCATCAAATAAATTGATAGTTTTGCAGATAATATATTTTGTTGTGTTTATTTTCGCAGCCATGAGTCACGTGTCGCAGCTGAAGCTTTAATATCAAAGTAATCAATAAAAGCTCAATGACTACATCTCAGTACAACTGCTCATACGGGAGACGTTTTGCTTCGGTTTCTAGCCTCAACTCGAGAGCTGTGAATTCATTGTTTCGAACTTACCTTGAACAATTATTTTTACCTTTATTTTTTATATGAATGAGTATTTTTTATCAATTTATGGCGTTTTTCTCCTGCGTTTAGTATGCATCCTCTGTCATGCTGACGTGCCGGACAAGAATTTGAAAAAAATCCTATTAAAATTCGACAGGTTAAACTTTTACGGCGGTTCCTGCACTGTGAAGTATTGAGCATACAGTACAATAACCAGTCTATGTAACTGGACGAGTATTAAATCAGGCTTATTTAATTACATGCCATTGTCTATAATAAACGCAATTTCCATTATAGTGGAATGTCCGCCGAGGTAAATACGAGTATTATAGCGGAGTCAAGAGCTGGTTTTGGTCAGAGCCGCCGCTTAAAGCGGAATATATACACCAATAATATCGTTGATCGTTGTCAATAAAAAATATCACCTCTCATCGATTTCATAGATAATATACTCAAGCCGTGAACATTTACATACACATCGGTCTCTCCAGACGTTTTCATCAGATTAGTTAGTTCTAAGAAAATTAGAAGTGAACAAGCTCAATTCAATACAAAACAAAATTAACTTCACATGCCTATTGGTAACGCCGGAAAATTTGCCGGCTGTAGCCTTGGAATTCAAGCGCCCGACTTTTGAACTGAAAGCCTACATCTGTGCCGAGTCGACCACAACAGAACGTAATTTGAGGGTGAATTTTAATAAATTATTTAACTTATAAATTTCATTGCTAAAGGAAGGGCCCAGGTCTCGAGAATGTTAGCCTGTTAGGAATATTAGTCCGGTCATTCTGTGTACAGAAAAGGATGGACCTGAAAAAAATTGCAACAGATTTTCTTTTTGTGGGGATATTATCTACACATAGTGTAGTATTCCACCAAAAAATGTACAAAAATTCAAGGGGGGAACATGTTTAAATCGGTCATTGAAAATTGTTGTATTTCTATTCTTTGTGATCGAATTTGAGTGGATGAAAAATTTATACAGTTTAATTGTTTTACCTTGATATTTAAACAGATTATATTTTGGTTATGTTATTAAATGCACCATCAAGAAAACTATTTATATTGAAAATAATACATAAATATTTTTTTCACTTTGTTTACATGTCATTTTGCACTAAAAGATGGAATTTTGCTCTAGCCTACAGTTTAGCTCTGAAAAAGTTCTCCTAGCTCACTCCACACTAATGCAAATACTTTACACCTGAAGGCACCTTCAGCTACAAACCATTACATGTACTTGTATTTGCTATTTCTGATGGCTAGGAGGGTACTGCAATGCCATTAAATTAGCTATGGCACCCTACTTTAGAGTAGAGTTAGAGCAGGGAAATCTTGGAATGTATGAAAACATTAAATTATGTTAACTTAGTGTGACTCTCTTATCAGT